GGCATTTCAGAGTGTGTTCAAAACAAGTCTGGTTCAAACAAAGTCTCAGTTTTATTCCAGCTGATAGGATGGGAACCTGCCAAAAAAAAAATCTCTATTAGCTCTTCAAAAGTATTCTTATTTTTTAAAATGTCCATTTTAAGAAACATTTGCAGAATCACTACATAATTTTTTTTGGTTTGATCCTCATCTGCATCGATAGCTTCTAGTTCATTATGGGAGAAAGGTCAGGGAAAAATTGCAAATTAGAGCCAAAAAAAGAGGTGTAGTAGACAGAGGAATATTACAGGGCTCTCCTGGGTTTCCTAGGGCTGGTTTTTTTGATGCTAATTTTCTCTACTGATGATAATGATTTCAGTTCTCATTGTTATCAGCTCAGGTTTTGCATTTAGCAAAGGCTTGGAAACTGCTCAGTGCTTGGGGAAAGTCTTTTTCTAGGAAGTGAAATCACAGCTTAAAGAATTTCAGCTCTCCAGGATTTTCCAGATCAAGGCTTCTCACATCATTACTTCATTATAGGGGAAAAAAAGAATTTAAAAAGGACCTTGTTTTCTAGCTTTGACATGCCAAACAAAACCGTGACAACTTCATGGTAGAACAAACAGATTTTGCAAATAATGTTCTCCACAAAAACATTTCATTTCAAAGCTAAGTCATTCCCTGTTCAGAGAGCCCTCTGAATTTCTCATTCCTGGTCAGAAACACTTAAAGCTGATCCTGGAAATAACCACAGAAAGCATGGATGGGATGGTACAGTTGTTATTTCCTTCACTCCAGTTTATTTTGATTAACTGAGCAAAGTTAATTGAATCATTTCAGCTTTTGCCTTTCTTTAACCCCATGCTGTTCATACTGTTTTCTTTGTAGTCACTGAACAAGAGACTAAAGTGCCCAAGAAAACCATCATCATGTAAGTGCTGATATATTTTTTGTGTTGGTAACCTTTGTGTTTTGCCTTGCTGCCAATGCATGATCCAATAACAAGCTTGTGTTTATTGGCCATGCAAGTGTGTTCATTCCCACCACCCCACCAGATCTCATGGTACTTTCTGCTCTGAAAAATGACCACCTGAAAAAACAAAAAAGTCCCTTTTAAAAAAGAAAAGTAGCACTGGTGTTAGACACAGCCTGGGTCAGCTTATTTTAGGATATTATTGGGTTATAAAACTCCACTCAAGACTGGCAGAGTTGCACAAGGGTTCAAGAAGGTAGATTCTGACTCTCAAAAAGAAACCAGCTTTCAAAAATGGCTACTTGAAAAAATGTACAAATTTAGCAAGTATTTCATAGATTACAGTGATTTCCTTTGGCTTTCTGTTTAAACTCTTCAGGAAAGCCCTTTGTGGTGAAGCAGAAGGAAGATGCACATTTGTCTCCTTCTGTCTCTATATTTATATAATGAAATTTTGTCCTGATAATGATTTGGTCTTTTTGGCTATCTTGAGGCTGGTTTACATTGGGTGTCTACGACACATTAATTGCAGCAGAAGCAGTACTTTCTCAGCTGTATATAAACCAGAAGCTCATCAAACATTAAAATCTTAATATTATCTTCTTGGCTTTAAGTATCATAAAGAAATCCATAATAAAATGGTTTCATGTGCTGGGAGGGGGACATCGTTCTTCTGTGAGAGGCCTTCAGAAGCCAGTCAAATCATGTCCTAGTAGTAATAGGTGATATTTTGGTGATATTTTGGGGCAGTGCATTCCTTCAAGAATTATACTATTGCCAAAATCAGCCCTTGACTTGGACATGACTCTTCATGTAAAAGTAAAAAACTTCAGTAAAAGAAGTTGGCTTCTTTGATTAGATGGTGAGGAGGATGTGTGAAAGGACAACTAAAATAGGGTGAAGAGTTGCTTATTTTTTATTTCTTTTATTATTTTCTATGATGATTATTTCTTATGATCCATGCACTTAGCCCTTTTGGAGCCAGTGGCCTATGAGAAGACGTGTCCCCCCTCTTAGCAGCTTCCACCTTCCATAGGTGAAGAGCAGACAGGAGAGGCAGGAGGGGGTTCTGCCTTTGCCCCTCTCTCTTACACATCACTTCAATTAATATCCCCACTCATTAGACATTTTTTGCTCTGCAAAGACCAGAAAAAGAAGGTGCTTCTGCCTGTGCTGCCATCTCAAAGACCAGGGTTCAGGTACCAGTGCTGGAGCTGGAGAGAAATATTTTTTTGATAACATCTTCAGCAACATCCCAAGAAAGTCGTGAGCAGGAAGGAATCACTCAGAGCCAGACCATGTCTCAAGCTTAATAAATCTCCATGTCCATAAATCACCTGCAGGGATGGTTTTATTTTACATCTCCCCTCTGTCAGCTAACAGTCCTTCTTTTCCCTTCATGATTTCAGATCACGAGCAGCAGCATGAACATCCGTTGATTAAATGGTGTTAAACTAACACAAAACACCATCAGTTAAGCTGATTTCCAAACTTCTGGCATGTAAATGCCATAGACTGTTGCTTTGGGCAGCTCAAGAAGTGATTCCTAAATTAAGGGCTGCAGCCCCAAAGGAGATTGTTGCATTTATGGGTGGGATCTCAGAACAACAGAAATTCCCCTCCTTTTGCTAGTGGATGCAGTCATGAACTTATTTGAGTGGCCCTCAGCTGGAGATGGGACTGAACAACATCTATTTAAGCATTTTAACTTGTGTTGTAGAGCAAAGCCTAGTGCAAACCCACATTAATTCTCATCTTTATCTAAAATGGTTTAGGACTGTGTCATTCAGAAAGGCACCATGGCCATTATGAAGGCTCTGCATAGAGCTTAAATCTCTAAAGCAGTGTCAGAGAACAGGCAAGGCCAAGGTGGGATGGAGGATCAGAAAAAAGACTGATCAACCTGAGGGAA